GTCTTGACGAGCTGGCAGAGGCAGAGGAAGACTAAGAAGGTGAAAATGGTCAGGAAGGTGACGGTGAGGCTGAAGAAGAAGAAGGGAAAAAACACATGAAAATAATGAGAGAACCCCACTTGTCCCATAACTTGTCACAATGTCCAATTGTCAATGAGTCAATGGCAGCAACAAAATGTGAAAAGGACAATTGGCCACGATATGCCAAGTCGCAGCTTTCAATGTGTGCTTCCCTGGCTGCAACGTGCTGTACTCTGCCTTCCGTGTGGTCAGCAGCAACCAAGCTGGGACAATGGTTCTGCTCGCGGGCGAAATTGCCGGGGGCGGGCTGACAAAAAACGGCAAGCCCATAATATGTCCAATCTGCAAGCCATCCTTTGCCTTCAAGGTGGAGACGGTGCCAAGGAACGGGAACCATGTGCTATTCAGAACAGCCTCCTGCTTCACAATCTCAGCAGGATTGCTCAGCAGCAGCCTCTCTTTCTGAATTTTTGTCGCTACCTTCTGGACTTTTGTTTTGTTGCCCGTGGCAACGGCTGCAGATTCTTGCTCTGCGTCGCTGAAATACTTGGTAGGAACACATGGCACCTGCAATAAGATGTTCTTTTTCTGGAAGGTCAGGTCGATCAGGACCAAAAAGGTGACAAAGGTAGCAGTCAAAGTAATCGCCTACAACACCCAATGTGGCGTCATCCCGAAAAGGGAAACCAATGGATGGACCCAATTGCTGATTGATTGCAACCTGGGCGCCAGTCGGAGTTGCAGGGCCCACTGCTGCACGCTTTGAACACTCCAAATTGACTGATGCGACTGGTGTGGTCGGCACCATGCTCTCATCGTCATCCATGTCCATGGTCAATAAACATGAAGAAAGTGATGTGCAAATTGATCAAAAACACAAATCACAAATCTATAGTTGCAATTATGTTCTTGTTTTTTTTGCACAAGTGGCATGCACTTTCTTGAAAATAATCAAAATCTATTTGACAAAAAATGACGAAAAACATTCCCGGCTGTGGACAAGAAGGCCTTCTGGGCAACCCTTCTGGAGCCAGGAAGCTCTTCGTCTCAACCCTTCTGGAGCCAGGAAGCTCTTCTGGGCAACCCTCCTGGAGCCAGGAAGCTCTTCATTGCGCAGACTCTGGTGCCAGGAGGCAGCCCCCTGGCACCAGAGGGTGCCAGGAGAATGGTTCCTGTCAGCCATCACCTCACTTCTTGGCACACTTTTGAGTGCCAAGACCCTACCCCATGGCATCCACACCACTGAGAGGAAGGACTTCCCCTCAAGATAGCTTAAAATTGAAAATTTTAGACAAGAAACACCTCACGTACAAAAATGTGTTTTTGACCAAACCTTTAGAATAAAACTATTTTTTTTTGCACAGTTTAAGCTGAATCCCTTGAAAACAACGTTGCTTTTATTTCATATTGTGGCTCTTATCTCTGAACCTATACATAGAGCCAACATGCAGGGATCGACTGTGCTCTATGGACTCACTCCACAAAAAAAAGTACCTAAGTTTAATTTGCAACCTTTCACGCTGAGGGGCCTCCCTCCAGATCGACAACAAATCATTGCAGGCTTTCAGTGGCGCCTTCATTGGGTGAAGCAGGCAGGATGCCATTAGGTTGCTATCAGCAGCCTAGCAGGTATGAATGTATGAATATTGGCCGTCCCCACACGACCATGTGGATGTGTCTCAACATGAGGTGCCTTTTTCTTGGCTCATAAAGGGTTACTTAAGGGGAAAAAGGGCACATCATTTTGTCATTTTGTGACATAGCGCAAAAACAAACACACTAATTCCACTCCAAGGCTGGGCCCCGGCGTGTAGACAACAACAAACTGTCGATTTCTCTGGAAACACGGTGTTTAGTACACAAGGAGGAGTAGGGCATGATAAGGCATGTGAAATCAATCTCATAGACAAGAGCAGCGCACCAGACCTGTGCCTGTGTTTCGCAAGTTTGTTGCGCAAACTTGAACACTCAATACACCAATGAAAAACGATCTTCATCATTTCATACAATGAATTCTGAGGCAAACAAATACCAGCTGACCCATTGGTCCATTCCGTAGGGCTTCAGCAAGAAAAAACACATGAGTCACATGAGCAAAAGACCGGTTTGGGTTTTGACTGGCGGTCGAACTGAAATGTACACCGTCGCACCGTGCCCTTGCCATCTACATCCGCTTGTTAAAAACAAGTGTTGGCAATGGTTTGGACTGGATGTTCATGCTAATGGTGCAGTGGGACAAACACCATCAGCAGTGACCAGCAACAAAGGACCAGTGCCAACCACGCCCACCCCCATGCAATCTCACCCAGCCCAATGGTGCAAGACCCGGGGGACAATAAATAATAAAGTCCCCAAGCCACTAAATTGTTCATTTCCCATTGGGCATTTCAAAACAATACCATCCCTTTAGTCAAGCTCAGGTATCGTATTTTGGGCCAACCCGGTAGCGATCGGCCGACTGCAAAAACAAAGTTGCCTTCCGTCTCAAATGCCCAAGCTGCAACTCGACATCTGTCGGATCGTCCTCCCTGCATCTGGGGCAGCTTGTGAAAACTAAACGGTTTCAATTTCAAGTTTCAAAGGCAATGTTAGTACATGGTGACAACCGGGTTGTCAGGTTGTCAAACAAAATTCAAACGACTCAAACGTAAAACACATTTGAAACAAAAACCCTGGTTATACCGCAGTTTGTGCAGTTTGTGAAACTGGAGACCCACTTAAAAACCCAGTGTTTTTACATGGGGTGCTTCAAAACAAAAGTGAGACTGTGTGTGTGTGTGGGAAGGTTGAAACTGACTAGTTGAGCAAACACATAACCAGGTGCATGATGCATCTGCCAGAGTTTGTGAAAGATAAGCTGTGCACAGAAGGGATGGGGCGGGCCACCGGCCACTGTTTTCAGACCAAACCAAACCCAAAACTGAAATCACTGCCCGGGAAGGTCGTGAAAGAGCATGCCTATCACTTTCCTCTGCCACACTTTGTGAAAGCTAGACCGTTTCAATTTCCCAATGTTTCTAGAGGGGGGCCAACCGCTTCAAACCGAATCAGAGTTTGGGAAGGTTAAAACTCAAACCCCCCCAAATAAAAAATGCAACTTCCCAACAAGTCCTTGCAGAAACCTCCAATGCTAATGGCAAAAGCCAGAGCAAGCACTGTTCATCAATGCAAAGGGTTGTCTCCGGGCAACTTCGCGCTGCCAAAACCAGAATCCGAAGCACCGAGTCCATTGAGAGAAACCCGAACTAACACCAGGCAAGTAGTTCAGAAGCGCCACAGGTTTATCCTGCTTTTTTTGTAAAGAATGTAAAGGATTTGATGACACTGGCACTGGTTTTTGGGGGGCTTGAACATTTCGCAGAGAAATTGCTGTGCAAGAATCAAGAGAGCTCACATCATATTGATTCATATTGATATTTCTTTGGACACGTTTAGGCCCTGGAATCCGTTTTTAAGCATCAGCCTTCATGGCTATGGCTCTGTTACTAGTTTTGCTGCAATTTTAGGCACCTTTTTTCTATACTATGCATCCTTCATGTGCACCTGAGAAACTTCAGCCAAGAATTTTAAATACTAGCTTGGACCTGTGCAAACCCACTACATGCTTTGATTAAAATAACTACTTGTTAGAAATCACATCGCGTTCTGCCACAATTGACCGGCCACCCACGTGTCTTGAGATTTGTTTGTTTGTGTTTGTCTATGTTGTATTTTTTCCTTCACTGGCAACCCCTCTGCTGCAACATCTTGTGGTTGCTATTGAACAGGCACGGCGTTGACACGCACACGGGTCATAGGTCACAGTCACAAACTGTTTCTGTCACTCAAACTCAGAAGATGGGACACCAAACATTAGCAAGAAGAAACAGCCCACCGGATGCGCCATCTCAAATTGAAGTGGTAAAACCCAACCAGATTGGATTGCGTTTCAAAAATCATATAGTTAGCAAAACAAAATCAATCAGCAGACTGTGAAAACGGAAGTCTGGAAACAAGACCCAGGTGTTTTCTCTCATTTAGATCAAGCCGAAAAAAAATGAAACCAAGATCCATGACGTTTTTCTCGTTTAGGTCAAACCCAAAAAAGGATATCAAACCCAAACAAATCTGAAGCCAACATCCATGCCTTGTTTTTTTCTCATGTGCACCAACCCGAGAAAAAATGAACCCGCACCAAAAAAAACAAAATCCATAAAAAACATAAAAACCGAAACAAAGATCCATGTAGTTTTGTCACCTGAATCAAAACCATTTAAACTTAGATCCGTGCCTCATTTTTCCCCGCGATATAATTCAAAAAAAAAAATCTTACCATTTTTCTCATTCAGATCAATGAGAAAAAACAAAAACCAAGATCCATACACCTTTTTTCTCCCAATCTAGATCAAAGAAAAAACTGAAACCGCGATCCATGCCGTTTTTTAACCGAAATCAAGCAAAAAACATCAGATCCATGCCGGTTTTTTAACCGAGATCAAACCAAAAAAATCTGAAACCAAGATCCATGCCGTTTTTGTTTACCAAAATCAAGCAAAAAAAATCTGAAACCAAGATCCATGCCGTTTTTCTTTACCGAAATCAAGCAAAAAAAATCTGACACCAAGATCCATGCCGGTTTTTTTAACCGAGATCAAACCAAAAAAAACTGAAACCGATCCATGCCGTTTTTTAAACCGAAATCAGGCCGTAGACAGTTAGTTACCTTCAAAAGTCAAAGATTTTGCTACTAACAGGCGGTTACAAAAATCATGTGCCTCCAAGACATCGTGAAGAAATATGACAATGTTGGGCAAAAGCGCCATGAAGCACGGTCACAGCCACCTCCTGGCGGTCTCCCGTGTGCTTCGCCCTATAGTCTAACAACGCACGTCCTTAGTTGTTAAAGTTATAAAGCAACTTACAGTAGCTAACGAACTGGGGCACCACCTTGCATGTAAGTTAACCATGGCTGATCGTTGCCGTCACCAGGGCTCCCCCACCGGCACCGTCGGCGCAACGCTCGTTGCCACCGCGGAAGCGATGCGGCCCGCATCGCTGCCGCGCCGGGCCAGGCTCGCGCGGGGCGCGGTCAGGGAATGTGAGCGCCGGCGCACCTGGCCATAGAGGAAAGCCATAACCAATGTATTATTATCTATCGGGCTACAACAAATTTCCGGATGCATGAGCATCTGTGAAAATGAAGGATTCACACACTGAAAGGGCCATCTTAAAAATAGTTTAATGAGACAATTATGAGAATTCGTCGGAATTGCGGGTGCAATATTTGATACTTTCAGACAAACGACGGTGACAAAAACACATAAACAATTTGAATCGGTACTGTGAAGGTAGCAACAAGTGGCATATGCCACCTGCATCAGCAATCTTGTCAGCGGGAAAAGTGTGCTGTGAGATCATGCACAACCAAATATGCGCAAAGTTAAAAACCAATGGTTTGAATGGTTTGACGTGCAATGATTCTGGTGAGAGTCCAGTCATAACCATGGCGTTTTACCCATGAAATCACCCCAACAATGTGCATCCCCATGATCACTCCATCAAAATCGAAATCAATGCCCATTTTGTTCATGAACATTCCCATGTCGCATGATCATGGTTATCCTGTAGACTATCACTCATCCTACCATAGCTATCGGGATTTTCTATCCCACCTGACATTGATTACCCCAACTGCGGCCTCGACATCTGAGTTGCGCCGTTGCATCGCAAGGGGCGCGGAAGGGTCCTGGCAGGTCACCATTCTCAGGCAAGGCTAGTTCCAACATTCTAAGGGTTTATGGGGATTTAACCAACACAAAATGGCGGTATAACGGGGATAGAATGGGAATATAATGCTATATGATGGAATATTATAAAATCATAATGGGATTTTAATGGAGATTGGGTTGTCTTGCCATAATTTAGAATTAGAACATCAGTTTCCAAATTTTTATGGCTAGAATGTGTACATTTTGGCATCGAAATCCATTCAGACTGTGTCCCCCGATAGTACAATACGAGGCCTCCGATAATAGCTGAACTCTTCGGTTTTATGGTAGATATAGCGAACTAATAGCGAACTAACTAGACGGGTGAAACTAGACCAACACATATACAATGGGAACCACCCACATTTCACTGTTGATTATATGGCCCAGTCAAATTCACACAGCCACTTGGGGCCGTGATGAAACAAGTTCTTTAATCTGTTTGCGTTGGCATTTGCAACGCTGGAAGCAACCCAAAAAACAAGGACAAGGCGCGCACACATGGTAACCTCAAAATGTTGGAAACAAAAAACATGGAACTACTTATGACTTAGTTCAAATAAATTGGTTAAATCTCCACGTTTGTTGGTTAAAGAACCATCAGAAATCATGGTTACCCTCCTGTAAACGTTTGCATAGATCTGTTTTTTTCTCACCATATGTAAACCACTTTCCTAAGGTTTTCCCATGGGTTTTCCACATCCATGTAAACGTTTAGCGTGGGGTATTCCATTAAATCCCATACAATCCATAACGATCCCCATGAAATAGCCATTAAAGCACCATTAAGTCACCATTTGTCTTGGTTAAGTCACCATTTTCCCAGGGTTTCGATGGTAAATCCCATGTTGTTCATGACCATCGCGTCACAAAACACGTTCCTGTCACGATGTTTTCCCCCTTTTTCTATGTCCTGATCCTTGGCCTCGATCTCCTCTTGGAGCTCCTTGGGGGTGCAGTTGAGATTAGAAATGGCTATAACAAGGGCGATAACCCCCAATAAATTGGGATGTGTATATATATATATACATATATACACCCCTTGTAATGATATTAGTAACATTGATCACTGTATATACATAGCTCTGTTAAATCTGGTTGGTGGTTGACCTACCCATCTGAAAAATATGAATATACCAGTTGGGATATTAAATTTCACGAGCTCCTGGGATTTTGGGATTTTAAAGGAATATTGGATATGGTCAAGATGCAATATCTGGTGCAGTCTACGCGCACAAGGGTCGCACGAAAAAACTTCAGCGTCATGGTTTGCATCGGTTTGCACTGGACCAGCCTTCCATAAACGGAATTTGTCCAATTAATTGTCAGAAAAATGGAAACGGTCGGAAACGGTCGGAAACGGTCGGAAACATGATCAGGCCAAAACTTGTCCAACCCGCATTTTTTTAAACGCGTATTTCCGCGCAACGCAGTTTTTTTTTTTGAAGGTCCAAAGCTGTCCAAGGGGAAACGGTTGGAAACAGTCGGTCGTCGCACCTTCGCTCGGCAACAAAAACATGTTTTTACGTAGATTTCAACCATTTTGCATGCACATATGCTACAAAATGACTACTCATATTCCCTAAAAATCACCAAATTCCAGGAGCTCGTGAAATTTAATAAGTTGGGATGATGAATTTCCCAATATATGGAAAACATAATCCAAATGTTCCAAACCACCAACCAGAGAGAGAGAGAGATATATATACCTCTTTATTATGGTGAAAAAGATCCACTTGGTTCACTGGAACTGCATTTCCAAGTAGTTGGGTCGCTGCATGAGATGGGGATGCTGGTGTTGGGCGAACCCAGTAGCTGCAGCTATTTCATCGCCATAACCTACAGCCAATCAAGCAAACTTTGGTGGATCCAGCCAACAAGATTCAATGGGGGCCAGATTTAATGGGTTAAATTGGGGATTCATCTACTCATGTACTTGGACGGGTCGTGGAGTTAGTCAACTGGGCGGGAAGCAGGTTCTAACGCATGAAAGCGTAGCTGGTTACGAAAAGTGTGTTAGATTACAATCACCATAGCTTACTCTATGACCCATCCAGGTATATTTTGTTTATTCTGGTAGACCTGGCAGACCAAACCAAATAACCAACGTGCTATAATCTATCCATATATGTATACCTATGTTTTCTGTTGAACCCACATGTTTAAACACCTTCTTTTTGTTGGTTACCTTAGAAGCCTTAGAATCACCTGAATCACCCTTCTCAGAAGGAACATGTTCCAGACACGCTTTCATGGGTCCCATGTTGCGGTTATGTCAACGCTGGCACTAATGGAGCTTCTGCCCTTGACTCTGGCAGTTGGGGTTTTGCCTCAGACGTGGGCTGGGTAAATACATCACGAAGCAGAATCAGTTCCAATTCGAGGCCCAGACCCGCTCCAGCGGCGTTGCTGGCGGTGGGTTTGGGGCTGGCCGGGGTGGCCTTGATGGAGCCGGGTCAGGCTTCATCGTGAGAAACTAGTTTTTCATGACGGCAAAAAAAATTGGTGTGTCTTCAAAATGGTTCACAGCTGGAGCAAATCCCGAGAGGATTTTGTCACAGAGACCACTGCTGTGCTTGACCCCGTCACGGGCGGAGGCGTTTTTATGGTCTCGTTCGCGCGCTCATGCATCGCCATGAAATCGTCCGAGGTCAGAATAATTTTTGGGTACCTAGGGGATGTTTTTTCCCACTATTATCCCATTAATCTATCATTTTCTGGTCGACATCCCATGTTCCATAATTAAACCCATTAAGATAACAATTCCACGCCATGGTTCTTCCATGATGTTCCTTGATCTTTTCAAATTCCCATGATCTTACCAATTATTTTCCCCTGTCTCCTACAAGGAGCCGCCCAAGTTGTGTTGAAATTATGGAGGTTATAAATTGAGTTAAGGAAGTTATGTTGAAGTTATGTTATCTTAAGTTAGTGAGGAAACAAGTCAAGTTATAACTTTGGCATCTTTTTAGTTTTGCATTTTTTAGTTGGAGGAACAATCGCGGTTTTAGACGTTTTTTGAGGAGTAGCTTAAAATCTCGCGATTTCATCATTTTTTCCGCTTTGCATGCACGGTGCAAAGAAAAGTATATAATTGGATGCACTAACGACAAACATTGCACATGCAGATGAATTTGTTTCCACCAGCTTGGCACACACGGTGCCAATAGATTTGACCACTTGACCATATTTTTTTGATTTGCAAGTTGAAATCTGTGCAAGGCTGCGCTTCGATTTGTCAGCTCATACATGGTCATGTATATGAAGAGTTCATTGTTTTTGGACACGAAGAAGTGGCATCAACCAGCATTGCAAGCATTGCCGCCCCATAGCAGGATATCAAAAAGTCCTGCTCGAGAGATAAAAAGTTGCGGACAACCTTGTTTGTTTTTTCTAGACATGAAAAAACACATACGTATATTCTCTTGGGTGGGCTTAAAAGCTTCAAAACACACACGCGTTTTTGAGATTGCAATAATAGAGGAGAAATACATACGCCTTTTTTTTCAAGCTTGCAAGAAAAAGCAAAAAAATACGAAAAAAGCACATCTCTAACGCAGTTTCATATCAAACAAAAACACAATTAAGGAGAGGTATGAAAACACATGCGCGTTCTGGGGTCATGGGTCGAAAACGCATACGCGTCTTTAGCTTTTCCCTTCGATTAATATACATACGCGTTTTGTATTTCTTTAGTTGCTATCTAGTCCGTTCACCCACAGACGGATGTTTTTTCAGCTGGCCTGTGCGGTTCGGGTTCAGTTGTGGTGCCAGCAAAACCCATTCCGTCGCTATGGTACGTTCTGATGGATGACGGAGACCAAGGCTAGTGAAATGACTAGCGACAGCTTCCACTTTACGAAGCTGTCTTTCAGAGTTTCCCAATGCCTCTCAAACATCTTGAGTCAGATGCAAAAGGGAAACGTGTCCACTCTTGCTTGCATTTGGGCACTATAGACTGCTCAGCAGCAGCTTGAGGCGGCACCCTTCGTGCCATGGCAAAAAAGCGAAAGAAACAGGCGGTGGCTCCAAAATTGCGCAAAACCCATGTCTTAGCCAAAAGCAGCAAAAATATGCAAATCAACATGAAAAAACAACGCGAGCTAAAGAATCGAACAATAAAAGTTAACTTTGCTAACTTTTTTTGTATCTTTTTAGTATCTCTCAACGTAAAAGGTACAAGTTACCTTAACAATCCATAACTCAGATATCAGTTGAACATAAGTTATGGAATTTAAAACGTGAGATACCCCCTGGTTATAACATATGTTAACCCATGATATAAATCAAGTTATAAGAAGGGGGCTCACCTTGTATGGCTACGGCTATGGTTTTCCCCCTGGTTTCACCATGATTTTCCCATTGCAGAACCCCACCTGTCCGAAATATAAGGAACCATAATTACAGTTAGTTAGTTGTATCCCCATTCCACATGTATAAATGAATTTCCCATACTTTCCCACTGAACAGTTTATACCCCATAGTCGGAGCGGTTTATTTATATCCCAACCAATATTCCCATTCATTCGGTTAACATCAACCGTTTATTTCCCATAGTTTCCAACCCCATGTGCTCCATGTATGGTATATTTACCTACATCTGGGTGATGTTTAGGGCAAATGTTGGTAAATATTCCATACATGGAGCATATGGGAACTGAATGATGAATTATTTCCCAGAGATTCCACATTCGATCCACACAGAATCGCAACGCCCAGTTTCCTCCGGTAGCTTCTCCATGTCCGGAAGGATGCGCAGGCTCACCGCGCCTCGGCGCGGAAAACCATGGGAAATACCATAGGGAAGCGGAGGAAAACCAGGGAAGCCATAAGAAAATGGTCTTAACCAAGAATAACGAAAAATCATGTGATATATATAGTGGGGTTCAGATGGAAAAAAACATGGAAAATTGTGGAAAAGCTGTTCTTTAATAAGGGTTTAAGAAGGGATTGGCTCCTTTGGGTAAGGCTTGGAGTTTGAATTTGGCAATTGCTTTTGGAAAAGGCTTCTCTTCTGGGCTTCCAGGAGCTGCTCTGGCACAGCTTGCTGCAATAGTGAACCCAGCAAACAAACCTACTAAAGTGAAATGGAGCCTCTCGTGGTCCAGGGCCTGGGAAACTGTGGAAAAGCTGTTCCTTAATAAGGGTTTAATAAGGGATTGGCTCCTTCCCCGTCGCTGTTTTTTCATTTTTTTTGTTTGGTCTTTTTTTGTTTATTGTTATTTTTGTTTATTTTATCTTTTCTGTTTTTGTTTTCTTTTTTCACATAGCTACTGTCATGCTGCTGCTCATGCAGGTATTGGCACCGGGTGTTTTTTTGGTATTGCTGAAACCTTCACTGCAGCCACGTGCTTCTGTTGAGTGCGCCCGTCTTCGTCATCAAGGTCATGCGGCTGTCTTGGATGCATTTCACAATCTGGGTGTAATCAGCATCCAAATATTTGGCCGGCTCCCGAACGCGCCTGACCAGCTTGTGCGCAATAAACCCGGCGATCTCCCGAATGGGCTTCCTGATGGCCGACCACTCGAAGAACTTGAAATCTTTTGGCTGGTTGAGCAACGCTTCCAACACCTTCTCCGCCGCCTCCTCCCCCAACACCACTGTCTTGCGTGAAAGCCAGGCTGCACCATAATTACCAAGGCGTCGGTCATCCAGCCATGTCTCCACGGCCTTTGAAAGTATTGTGGCGCCGCAGGGCCGGCATCTGCAGCCGCAGGCCATTGTGGCCGTTGCACGCGGCTTTCGTGCTGCGGGGGGTCTTCCGCTCGATCTTGGCTTCCTTGCCCACCTCGTCCATGGCCTTTACAAGGCTTTCGGCTTTGTAGTGCTTGGGGACATCCATGGCCTTGTGTGCAGTGAGGGCGGCTCTGAAGAATAAGTTCCACGCTGCAGCGCTGCGTTGCTTCAACGCACAATGAGCTACACGCTCTACACGAACCCGCGCCCAGCCCCGCAGTCGTGGCGTCGGCAGCCATAGGCAAAACTGCAAGTATGCCGGAAGCTTGTTGTCGCCCGCAAAGAGGGCTTCCAGCTCGTTCTTAGAATATCCGCGTAGTTCGAATTCCACCTCCTCGTCCATGGCCTTCTCCAATTCCAGCTCCATCATGCGATCCTTCACTTGCTGGTCCAAGTCCTCCACTGGCAGTTGGCGGATCCTACCTTCGGTAGCTTTGACCACATCGATGAAGTCCTTGTCAAAGGAAAACATGTTCAGATCGCCGTCAAAATCCCCCCCCCATGCAGCCATGCGGGCGTTGCCGTGCCCATCCCGGCTGACCAATACAACATCTTCCAAGACCAAGCCCTTCAAATCTTCTGGCCACGGCTTTGCCTCCCACACCTCCATGTCCCACGGGCATTGGCATGGGCACCTCCACACCCAAGCGCTTGCCGCAGCAACCCGAACGAATGCAGGCCTTGTTGCCCTGCAAACGTCTTCTTGGGCTCGGCAAATGAAACTCCATCTCCTCCACCACCAGATGCGCCAGCATGCGTGCTGCGTCTCACTGGACATGGCTTGCGGTGCTTGCAGCGCTTTCACCAAAAGCACGGTTTGCAGATCATGACGTTCCAGAGTCAGGAGCGATGTTGTTTGCTGAACTTCTGCACTGTGTCTGCGTGGTATGTGGTTTGCATTGCTTCGGTTTGCTAGGTTTTCGATTCAAATGTTTGTTTCTTGTAAATCAAACAGAGTTGAGACAAAAGTCGGGAGAGAGAGAGAGAGGTAGGTGGGGACTTCAAACACTTGGTGCCAATGGGAAGCTCTGAGAAAGCTCGCCAAAACTTGGGTAAAGTTTACAAGGGATAGATGATAGAACTACAATGGGGTTTATAGACCATCTTATGGCCGCAGATCCTCAGATCCTCGCCTTTCATGTTTTGAAATCTGCTCTATCCGTGATAATCCATGAATTGTAGATGGTTCTTCGCCACTAGTCTTAGACCCGCAGAAAAAATCAGCTGGCAAGTCGATTTCATCATTGATGGAAGAAACAATCCATGACACAATCCATTCGTTTTCACCATGGTGCGTCAAAACTATACCATAGGTGGTAGATGCATGTTCAGATATCGTATATATACGGTATCTGAACATGCATCTACCAGCTATTGTGGACTTCACGAGGACATCAGCATGACTCATAGCCACAAAAAACCCTTAATTAACAGCTTTTCATTTGTGAAAAACGCCATTTAAGTGGGTTTGCTCAACTTAGTTGCAGGATGTTGAAGGAATTATTTCATCCGCTTTATACCATACCAATAGTACCGCACAAGGCGGTGGCGGAAGTTTCAAAAATAGGAAACCTATAGGCGAGGTTGGTTGTTGTGAATCACGGATGGCAGAGCGAATCCACTGATGGACCGACAGGTGGTTGGAGTTGTGTTTTTGGAATGGTTGCAATGGTTGCAGTGGTCACCTTACCACAACTGCTGGATGTAGTGTGGTGTAGTGCAATTGCAGTGTAGTTGCAGTTGTAGCTGTAGTTGTAGTGTAGCATAGTGTAGTGGAGCTGTAGTTGTAATGTAGTGTAATTAGTGTATTTGCAAGCGTAGTTGCCGTTGTAGTCGTGGTGTGGTGTAGTTAGTGTAGTGTAGTGCACTGTAATGTCGTGTTGTGTAGTGTAGTATGTGTAGCGTAGTGTAGTGTAATGTAATGGTAGTTGCAGTTGTAGTTGCAGTTGCAGCTGCAGTAGTAGTTGTAGTGTAGTGCAATGTAATCAGTGTAGTGTAGTGCTGTGTAATGTAGTGTGGTTGTAGTTGTTGTATTTTAGTTGTAGTTGCAGTGAAATTGGTGTAGTGCAGTGTAGTTGTAATTGTAGTTGTAGGCGTGGTGGTAGTAGTAGTAGTAGTAGTTGTTGTTGTTGTTGTTGTAGTTGTTAGTGTATTTGGTGTAGTGTAGTGTAATTAGATGTAATTAGTGTAGTGTAGTGTAGTGCAAATAGTGTAGTGTAATGTAGCGTAGTATATGCGTTTGTAGTTGTAGCAGTAGTCATCAAAAACGAAGCAATTCTGCGAGACTTCCTCAATTTTGAACTTGACACCCATTTTCCTCTAGTATTTCCCATGGTTCTCCCATGGTTTTCCTATGTTTCTCCACCGAAACGGATGGGCGACCCCGGGCGACCCCGGGCGACCCCGGGCGGCCGGACAACCCTTTGGCGCGGAGCCCGGGAAGCTTTGGCTGAAGAGCACGCGGCCCTGGTAAGCCAGCGGGTGGAGGAACTATACCCTCTGGTAAACTAACGTAATTATAGAAAATCCACCCATTTTTGATGGGTAAATCCACTATAAATTGCAATTTTCAATAGCTATGTTAGTTTACTAGAGGGTAATGGGAATATGGCAAAAAAACATCTTGGACGGGGCATAGCATGAAAAATTGCCAACAAAAAAGCCATGCGTGTGGACAAAAATATACTAAAAAACATCATCTGGTTGGTGGTTTCAACCCGTCTGAAAAATATGAAAGTCAAATGGGATGATTGTTCCGAATATATGGAAAAATAAAACAAACCACCAACCAGGAACTATAATGGGAATATGGCAAAAAAACATCTTGGACACTTCATCTTGAATCTGAACAGGCAGCAAAGCAAGACCTCTTCTCAATAGATTATCCAAATGATCTGGGTAAATGAAAATATTTCACTAACCTGAATAGTTCGGCCACTCATCTTCCCTTTCCCGGCCCATGCCCTGCTGAATAGTTTGTTGGCCATTTGGGGATGATTTCCCTTCTTAATCATGATTCCAGTGAGGTAGAACAGTGAGGTCGTTATAATTTACCCAGCTTAATGGCAACATGGCAAACAAACCCCTAATTCTATCGAGTCTTTATATATCATAGAACTATTGTATACTACTATACTTGTATTACAAGAGTAGAATATTACACAATGGAAATGTAATGGGAATTGTGATAAGATAATCCTATCAATGGGATATATTGGGAATTTATCAATATTATTCATGATGGGAACAAATCCGATTATTGAGAATCCATTAATATATTGGGCATATAATGGGATATAAAAAGATATTAATAACTGGGATTGTTCATGCTATATCATTATGGGATGCATCGAATCAACGTAGTATCATAATAAATCAATATAATTATTGGATAGTCATTATGGGAATATATCATACAAGTACTGTATATTACCATACCTATATTACGGAATCTTACAATGGGAATTAATGGGAATATGATGGGAATCATCAATGGGATAGTAATATTACTAAAATCAACGGAATGTACTTGGAATATGCTAACACCATGGGAACACACTGGGAATACGTGCATATCCAATGGAACATTGTGAGGAATCGTCATTGATATTTGGGAATATCCTTTGGAAGTCGAATAATATACTGTATAATATGAGAATCTTACAGTTCCCTCTGCTTGGAATCATAAACAACGGATATTAAAGGTAATAACGGGAATATGAGAGGATATCCAATTATCCAATGAGAGGATGTCATGTTTCCTAAAAAGACTGCGCTAGATTCATGAAATAGTAACGGTGATATGTCATGGGATGTATAATAAAAGGCAATGGAATATCATACAAGATATAAGTTGGTTTATAAGCCCAAGTAACTATAGTTATAAATACCATAAACCATAGTTATTGGAGTTATAAACCAACTTAGTCATCTTGGGGGCCTCACATCGAGGACAGGCTGCTTCCAAGTCCAGACGGAGGAGAGAAAGCGTGTGCCTTGGTGGCAGGCATCACCGTGGCAGGCCTCGCGGACTCTGCAGAGCTATTTGTTGTGGCATACCTTGGCACCCGGATTGTTGGAGCCGCAGCCTTCTCTGATGCCACACCTGGAGCTGGGCTTGACAGAGCAGCGCTCCCTATCGCTTTGTTGCTAGCTGCTGCAACAGTAGCCTCGGTGTGTGTGTCGAAGGTGGAGAACCAGGAGCAGCAGGAGCGGGTGGTGGCATGGGTGCTGTGGCAGGCCATGGGATGTATAATAGGCAATGGAATCTCATAGGATACGTGTATAATAATGGAATAAAATAGTATTAACTTTCGTGAGTGAAGAATCTGCAACTTTCAGAAAAATAAGAAAAAATAAGTGTGCACAAGTGTGCCCTCAGTACTTTATGTGTTTTGGGACACCTAATGACGCAAATCAATGCAGTTTGCAGATCCAACAAATCAGAGGGGTGGTGGACAGATATATGGTAAAGGGCCATGGGACTTTCAACATCTCCAGGTAAGAAGGGTGTACTTTACCTGGAATTACATTGAAAAAAAGAATGTTCAATGTAATTCTGGCCATGGGACTTTCAACATCTCCAGGTAAGAAGGGTGTACTTTACCCGGAATTACATTGAATTAATTGATAGATAAAACTTAGTTGAAACAGTAGCATCCCAGAGTGAAGTGGCCTTGCCAGAACCACTAGAGTGAGTTTGTCTTGGCAAGACTATCTCAGAGTGAAGTGGTCCTGCCAGGACCAATTGAAAGTGAATTGGCCTTGGCAGGACCAATTCAGAATGAGTTGGTCCTGGCGGGATCGTTCCAGGGTGAAGTGGTCCTACCAGGACCACTTAAAACTGAATTGGTCCTGGCAGGACCATGATGGTTTTGGGAAGGCCATACAGGTCTTGGCCAGTCTTGACAGGACCATTATTGCCTTGGCCCGACCACAATTGGCAATTATGGTCTTGGCCGGACCACAACTGGCAATTATGGTATTGGCTGGACCATAATTGCCTGTTGTGGTCCTGGCCGGACCACATTTGCCAGTTGTGGTCCTTCCAAGACCATCATTGCCAATTGTGGTCCGACCAGGCGCATAATTGCCAGTTGTGGTCCTGGCCGGACCACAACTGTTCTTGCTGGTGGTTAGCTTTGTGCTTTTGTGCCTGCTATTTTTTTTTGATTATTTTGATCACCCACACATCTAATGCTTCTACTCCCTCACTACAGCCTCTTCATAAGTCGGAAGTTAGACTTCAGAAAGTCGGAAGTTAGAGTTAAGAAGTTAGACAAAAAAAACAAATTCCCAGCACTTCCAAAAGTGACGGATTAAGATAAAGAAAGGTTTCTCTTTAACTAATTAAGGAATGTTTCCTTACAAAAAGGTTCCTTAAATAACACAACCTTCCTTATTTAAGGAAAAACGTTTAATTAAGTTTTTCTGTAATGAAGCAATGGCAATGTTTTCCCTTAATTAGGGAAACAACATGTCCTCAAGAAAAGGTTTTTAAGCGAGGTTTCCTTAAACAACGAGGGTTTCCTTAATTAACAGCTTTTGGAGCTCCTGGGACCTGGTCATTTTTGGGAGTGCCGGACGGTACCCAGCGGTGGCGGGTATCTGTTTGCTTCAAATGTTTCAACATTGATCAGAATTCATGATGTATTTTGGCCCAAAAACTTTCAAACGGTTTGAGCCTGTTCTGTGACAGAAAAGGTTTTCAACAAAAAATGCAACTCAAAAAAAATGTTACGCAACGCTTGTGTGTTTCTAACATGTTTTGAAAACAAAGTTGACATAGAAATTGTGGAGAACGTGTCATGCGTTTTTTTTTACATAAACGTACACTGATAGGCATCATATTCAGTGAAGAACTTGCTGGCATTTTTTTTGCTAGACTTGAAATGCATTTATCTTCTGAGAGAGGGGGGGGCAGGGCGTTCCCAAAAAGCAACGATATTTCTTCAATGGGAATTCCAGGATCCTAAAATGGATGTACTGTACCATATAAGGCCATATTTTGGAGGGATATCCCCTTACATAACCCTAATATTACCAAACCTTTTTAAGCCTTTGTTGTTGTAAAATGGTCAGGGCTGGCAAATTACACCCAACCCATGTGTTTTAATAGAAAAACACCGGCTTAAAATATTTTATTGCTGGTGTCAAAAAATTGCGCCCTATCAGTGTCATGAGACTACGACTACAACGACGACTACCACTACGCCTCAGCCTCAGTCAAATGATGCCTTAATGGTGTCATGATGATGCCTTTATGGTGTCAAAGAAGTGATGCCTTAATGGTGTCATAATGATGCCTTACTGGTGTCAAAAAAGTGATGCCTCAATGGTGTCACAATGATGCCTTTATGGTGTCAAAGAAGTGATGCCCTAGTGGTGTCACAACATTGATGCCTTAATGGCGTCAAAGAAGTGATGCCTTAATGGTGTCACAAAATTGCCTTAATGGTGTCAAAAAAGTGATGCCTTAATGGTGTCACAACATTGATGCCATGATGGTGTCATGATGATGCTGTGACAGTGTCATGCCACAGTGAAGATTAAGATACCCACCAAGTCCAGAGTCTGGACCTCAGCATCGTTTAGTTTTTGGGTCATGTTTTTTTGGGTTCAAAGTAGTCAGAAAGGTTCAAAGGTAACAAACACCAGAAAGAACCATCCAAAGTCTTCAAGAATAATTTTGTCTCATAGTCTTGGTCCCCATCTAAAACTATCCATACTATACTGATTGGTTAGTGACAGTGAAGTGCCACACCCCACAAAACATGTTTGCCCCTGGATGAAACAGACCCCCATGGCATCTTACCGTTTTGTTTTTGGCACCATCGCGGCGCCAGTAAAAGACACCATCACGGCATCTTATCAATTTCATGGCACCATCACGGCGCCAGTAAAAGACACCATCACGGCATCTTATCAATTTCATGGCACCATCACGGCACCAATAAAAGACACCATCACGGCATCTTCTCAGTTTCATGGCACCATCACGGCACCACAAGAAACCAGGTTTATAACCCCCATTAATAATAGATATGATTGTTATCTAGGAGAAACAATAGTGAACAAATATATTTATATTATATATATATAGTTTCAATGGATTAGGACTTATTTACATGCCAGTATAAGACACCATCACGGCATCTTGCTTGAGGCCCGGATTCCTGCCTGAACTTGGTCACCAAGTTGTGTTCCTTGGCCTTGGCCGGATGCAGCATGGTGCCAGGAAACCCATGGGCCAGATCATGTCTGGCGTAAATGTGTGTTTAGGTGATGAAACATGCAAGAACATGTATGACTCCATTCCACCCAACCGCTTGCTGTTTTTTTTGCCACCGAGCAATCCGATGGGAGCATGCTGGGGATGAAAGATGTTGACGAAAACCAAGTGGGTATGGCTCAAAATATTGAATCTGACACATCCATTCCCTAGGACATTCAATCTTTTTGATGAT